TGAGTTTCCCCCCAGATTTTTCTGCCTCAAGTTTTTCCCCCCCAAGTTTTTTCCCCCTGAGTTTTCCCCACTAGTTTTTCCTCCGAGTTTTTCCCATGAGTTTTTCCACCCTGAATTTTCCCCCCCTGAATTTTTCACCCCAGACTTTTTTCCCCTGGACTTTTTCTCCCACAACTTATTTTTCCAAGTTTTTTCCCCCCTGAGTTTTCCCCCCTGAGTTTTTCCCCAAGGTTTCCCCCGAGTTCCCCCCCCCCAGGTTTTTCCCCCCCAAGTTTTTTCCTCCTGACTTTCCCCCCACTTGGAGTCCCCCTCTTTCCCCCCACTGTGAGTTTTCCCTGCAACTTTTTCCTCCTGGACTTTTCCCCCCTGACTTATTCCCACAACTTCCCCTCCTAAACCCAATTTCCCCCCAGGTTTTTGGCTTCCAAGTGATTCTAGGGAGGTGTCTATAGACAATTCTATCAGTGTGGAACCAACCTCTTGACACCAAACACCATTTTTGCCTGTGGCTCCCGTGCCCTGGACACATCCCACAGACTTCCTGCCCTGCCAGTGATGCCTTAAGATTCTTCTAGTTTTTTGGTTTTTTTCTGATTTTTATAAGCTTTTAAGTAGTCAAGTAGTAAAAGTAGATTTTAGAAGCAGCAGCCCTTATTCCTTTACCCTTTAGCACAGTAGTTTACACATCCCTCAACCCCTACATACCCCATGCCATGCTCCCATATCAATATCAGTAGGCCTGTTGTTTAAGAACACTTGTGCCTTGGCCTAAACTGCGAAAGTACAGTCAAAAACCAGGTGACTGGGTACCTTTTGTGCTCTGAAGAAGATGAAGATGGTGAAGAAAAGCCCCCAGCCCTAATTCTGAGGGGGTGGGATGGGGGAGGATCAGGGTGGGAGAACTTTGGATTGGACAAGCAATCATCATCATCTTGGCTTGGCTTTGCAAACGAAGATTTGGGAAGGGCTCTACCCACATTTGTTACAAACACACTGGTGGCTAAAAAGGCCAATACGAGACAGGCACGTCCGGCTGCAGAAGGCACAGCAGAAAGACTCCTTAGGTGGTAAATTCTGCAGGACACGGTTCTTTCTGCGTTGTCTTTTCTCCTCGAGAGTGATCCTACTGCGTTCTCAAAGGCATCGGCAGTGTTATAGATGGTGTGTCTCCAGACCTCCAGATTGGAGGTCAGAGTAGACCAGTGATGATGATCAATATGGCCAAGGCTGAGATGTTTCAGGGAGTCCTTGTATCTTCTCTTTAGGGCTCCTCTCTTGTGGCAGCCGGTGGCAAGTTCACCATAGAGCAGGATCTTAGGGAGGCGGTGGTTGGCCCTTCATCCTTGACATGTGCCCTGCCCAGCCCAGCTGTGTTCTCAGCAACATGGCCTCAATGCTTGTGACTGCTGCTCGTTCTAGAACAGATGGATTGGTCACATCATCTGACCAGTGGATGTTTAGGATTGTTCAGAGGCAGCGTTGATGGCGCGTTCTGGGAGTCGCAGGTGGTGGCAGTAGATGACCCATGATTCAGATCCATATAAGAGTAGACAGCACTATGGCTCTGTATTATAAATTGTAACACCTGTACCTGGCCAGCGTGAGCGTCTTGTAATCTTATGCCTGGGCACAAATTAAACCCTTTTCTTATCTCATCTCCAATTAAGTTGCTTTGGAGTTTTTTTTCTTCAGCAACACCAGACGCCGGTGCCGTGCATCCCATTGGATCTGTTGCCTACCTGCATAACCCCAACCTCTGTTTCTTTCCAGAAATGTGTCTACTGTCGGAAGAGGATGAAGAAGGTGTCGGGTGCCTGCATCCAGTGCTCCTACGAGCACTGCTCCACCTCCTTCCACGTCACGTGCGCGCACGCGGCCGGAGTGCCCATGGAGCCGGACGACTGGCCCTACGTGGTGTCCATCACCTGCTTCAAACACAAAGCAGCAAACCAGAATGTAAGGATCTGGCTTGGTTGGGCTTTTGGGGTTTTTGGGTTGTTTTGGGGGGTTTGGGTTGCAGAGTGGCAGAATCACAGAATGGGCTGAGCTGGAAGGGACCCACAAGGATCATTGAGTCCAACTCCTGGTCCTGCACAGGACGATCCCCAAGAGTCACACCCTGTGCCCCCAGAGTGTCATCCCAACACTCCTGGAGCTCTGGGAGCCTTGGTGCTGTGTCCACTGCCCTGGGGAGCCTGGGCAGTGCCCAACCACCCTGTGTGGGAAGAACTTTTCCCTCAGATCCAACTTAACCCTGCCCTGACTCAACTCCAGGCCATTCCCTGGGTCCTGTCCCTGACCCCTCAGGGCCTGCCCCTCCTCTGCCCCTCACAAGGAAGTTGTAACTGCAATGAGGTCCCCAAGATTGTTTTTAGATGGTGGGTTTGTTTTGTTTTGTCAGGGATTTTTTTGGTGGGTTTTTGGGTTATTTTATTTTTTGTCAGTTTGTTTTGGGGTTTCTGGGGGTTTTTTTAGAATTGTTTCTCTGCACCTGTATTGGCTCAAGACTTATTACACTTTCTGGCTAGTGCAGAAAGATTATCCAGAAAGGCAGTACTGGGAATGGCTTTAATCTCAAAGGTAGTAGGTTTAGATGGGATATTGGGAAGGAATTCCTCCCTCTGAGGGTGGGGAGGGGCTGGGATGGATTTCCCAGAGAAGCTGTGGCTGCCCCAGCCCTGGAAGTGTCCAAGGCCAGGTTAGACAAGGCTTGGAGCAACCTGGGCTGGTGGAAGGTGTCCCTGCCCATGGCAGGGGGTGGGACTGGATGGGCTTTAAGGTCCCTTCCAACCCAAACCCTTCCATGGTGATTGTGTGATCCGAGGGGCTGGAGGAACCCGCTGCCTCTCGCTCCGTTACTGCTGAGGAACTGCTCTGCTGGAGAGGGACACAATTATCCAGAGACAGCAAACCCCCATCAGATACAGCTTTCCTGAGATCTTCTCTTCTGATGTTGCTGAAGATTGGTGTCCCTGCCCGTGGCAGGGGGTTGGAACTCCACGAGCTTTAAGTTCCCTCCCGACCCAAACCGTTCCACGGTTCTGTGATATTTTTGCCGCGGCTTTTCCAATTTGCAGGTTGCAGATGTTTCCCTTTTCCCTCTCCCACAGATCCCATTCCGAAGGGAGGTGGCCCTGGGGCAGACTGTGATCACAAAGAACCGGAATGGGCTCTACTACCGGTGCAGAGTGATCGGCACAACCACGCAGACCTTCTACGAGGTCAACTTTGACGACGGTTCCTACAGCGACAACGTTTACCCCGAGAGCATCATTGTAAGCAGCTCTGTGGAGGCTGGGACTTTATAGATGAGTGCCAAGTGTGATTTGTGCCTTCCTCTCGTGTGCTTTGGGCTGGAACAGCAAAGTAAATTTAAAAAAAAAAAAAAATTAAAATTAAAAAAGTCGCTGCTCGCTTAGAAAATCTCATCCCGCTCTTCACTGCAGTTCTTGTTTCTGACACTATCTCATTTATTTTTTTTGGTTCCTTGACAAAGATGTGATTTTGCTGAATGCAGATGACTTCACAGAAAGTAGTGTTTGTTTTAAGTTTCGTCCTCTTTATTTTGTGGTTGAATAATCTTATTTTTCAACTGACAAGTGTGATTCATGGGGGAAGCAGATTGTCTGTGAGCTGCTTCTGCTTCAGAATAGGGAGTTCACTTAATAGAGGGAATGTCTAGAAGAGGCTTATTTGTCAACTCATGCATTCCCTTCCTGATTGTGCCACTGATTCACTGAGCTGCCCTGCTTGTTTCTGAGATACAGCAGATCTGGTGTTTTGGGATTTGTAATGAGAAATGTCCCAGAACTGGGTGCTGTCATTCCTGGTCTCTCACGCTGGTTTTGTTTGAGATGCCCACAATTAATCCCAAGGGCAGAAACATCTTCCACCTAATTATAGTGCTGTGTAGCAGCTTCCTCGAGCAGTGATTTAAACACCTCTCTGGTTCCTGAGCTTTGATGTCTCTCTGACCTGTTTCCCTCTGTCTTCAGAGCAGGGACTGCATCCAAATGGGACCCCCTCTGGAGGGGGAGCTGGTTCAGCTGCAGTGGACGGATGGGATCATCTATAAAGCCAAGTTTATTGCAGCCCAGATCAGTCAGATTTACCAGGTGAGTGTGGCAGAGGACCCCCATGGCCACGTGTCTCATGGTTCCTGGCACTGTGCAGCTCCCTGGTGTTGAACACTTGGTCAGGAAGGAGAATTTCCCTCCTGAAATTAATCCTGCTGGGAGGGTAAAGAGAAACAGGGTGTTGAACAGGGTCAGGGTGAAGGTTTTCTGTGGCAGAATGTGGATGTAGGGATAGACACACGTCTAGACTGGACCTGCTTTTAAAATGTAAACCAAATTTGCCTTTTTCCTTATAGATCAGCCTAAAAGTGCCCTACTTGAAGTACTCTGATAGCTGGAACTGAGCTCCTCATCTGTAGTTCCACGTGAATCAGTGTCTACATAATTAGAATAACTTTCCTCAATACTTTAGGATCATTAATGTTGAAAAAGACTTTTAAGATCATCAAGTCCAACCATCAAAGCAGTACCAGCACTTTGAGGGGAGAGGGAGGGATATAAAGGGTCAGGAGAACGAGGAATAATCCTCTGCTCGTGGGAAGGTGCTTTGTGGAGCAGCAGCAGCAGCATTTGGAAATTCCTGCTGCTGTTGTGTGAGGAGTTGGAAACCTTCACTCCCACCTTCTCTGGTTTTAAGGTGAGTAAAACAGCAGTGAGGGATTTTTTGGTCTTTGAGTTCGTTCCACATGCAGAATTTTGTTTGGAGAGGTTGTAATGGTCAGTAAAGGAAGCTTTAACCTGGTACATTGGGTCAATGTTTCAGCACAGAAGGCTTTAAAAAATGCAGGGCATTCATTTGATCAAATAATTCTTAAATGATACCAAAAAGTTGAAAACTATACTTTGAAAAGTATACTTTGCAAAATACATGCTGGAAAAATATACTTTGAAGAACACATGCTGGAATTAGCAAATAATTGTGATTTTGAAGAGATTAATGCCTCTGGACAAAAGACAATGGAAGTCCTGTAGCTTGAATGTGTTTGAAACAGAATTCTGGTTTCTGGCCTTTCACAGAATTCCAGGATGGTTTGGGTTGGAAGGGACCTTAAAGCCCACCCAGTCCCACCCCCTGCCATGGGCAGGGACACCTTCCACTAGCCCAGGTTGCTCTAAGCCCTGTCCAACCTGGCCTTGGACACTTCCAGGGATCCAGGGACAGACACAAAGTCCCTGGGCAAGACTTTGCACAGAGTGTTTTGTGTCTGGAAAAGCCCAATAACCCCTGGGGGGCTCTCAGTGGCTGTAACTCCCTCAGGGATGTGATCTGAGGTGCCCCTGGTTATGAATAAGGACAATATAGAGCTCCCTAAAGCTGTATGGTTTTCCATGCTTTCCAGTTGAATCACAGCAAAGGAAATTCTCCTGGATTTCTCCTTTGGAATGGGCTGTTCCATGGATAGTGCCAGGTGACAGTAATATATGCACGAGGAGCCTGTGGTTTTCCAATCCTGCAGTTACCTGTGAGCAGAGCTCTTCTCCATGGGGAGAACAGCTGGGATAGTTTTCCACACTGCTTCCCTCTGCACACACTGTGCAGCAGGATTCCATTTAAAACCACAAAACCAGTTTTGCTGTGAAAGAAGTGTGTTCCTGGGAAGACAGCAGGGATTAGCTTTGCATTTTAAACTTGGCTTATTTTGCAGCAGCTTCCCAGTTTCCATCTCCAGCCTGCTAAGATTAGATGTGTATATTTTTTAAAAATTGAGCCCAAATGACTGTCCTGGAACTTGGAACCTGTGGGTCCAACCCATGGGTTGCTCCACCAAGGGTCTAACCCATAGCAGTGATTTGGAACTTAAATAATCAGGGGCCAACCACTCTGACAGGTAAAATGACCCTGCCCTCAGTTCCAAATCCTGCCTTTCTCCTACAAGTTGAGTTCATGACATGGAAGAGGCAGACAGGGATCTGCTGGTGCCTTGGCTCCTACACCTTGTAATTCCTGTTCCCTTCTGACTGTTCTGTAGTGGGGCTCTGCAAAACCAGGGACTAAGTGGGATATAATATAGGGAATAATAAGTGGAAATAAATAAAGTAGCATCTTAAACCTTCCCCAGAAGGGCTCACCTTCCAAGGCCTGAGCTCCCACCTGCACAATTATCCCAGCTCCTGGATGCTGCTCCATGATGGGAATGCTGGGCCTGGGTAAGGAATGAGCTGCTGGAGCTGGACAGAGCAGGAGGAGGATTTGGGAGCACAGATGCTTTATTCCCTCTGAATTTGTCCAGGCTGAACCTGACACCCCTATTAAACTCTGATCTGTGTCCTTCTGCTTTAACCAGAAAACTCTATTAAAGCCTCGAGCAAAGGAAATAAGAATCTCTTTAAAAACTTTTAATAGTTTTAACATTTTGCCGTGCACGTTCCCATGAATAAACGTTCCTGGAACATCTGATGCATAATTCATGATATAATCAGTGCTTAGCAAAAAGGGTTGATGGGGAGGAGTTTTTTGTACCTGGCTGACTGTTTCTGCTGGTTGAAATACAAATGTGCTTTAGTAGCTGGAATTGTTTCCTTGTGACCTGTGAAAATGCTTTGTTTAAGATGAAAGAAGTTCTTATTACGATATTGGCCTGAATACAGGGCTGCTTTTATTAGGAGTGAAAAGCTGCTGGGTTTTTTTTTGAGGATTTGAATAAAAAATCAGGAGGAATATGTAATGGGAGGGGGGAACAGAGGTGCTGGGCCAGCTGGGGGTGCAGATATTTTGGGATCCATGGGAGCCCTTGGGCTGGATAAGACAGAGGTGCCTGAACAGCACTGAAAACAGCACTGAAAACAGCACTTTCTGGGTTCAGCATCCTTGGCAGAGCTTAGGAATGCTCATTCCAGAGCAATCCTGCAGTGCTAAGAACAAGATCATCCATCCGTCAGGGATCTGGCCCCTGATGCTTCCTTGGTGTTCCCTGGAGGGACAGGCTGGGAATGGACCATTCAAGGGCTAGTTGTGATTTCATCTTCTGCCTCTCTGCAGGTCGAGTTTGAAGATGGTTCTCAGCTAATGGTGAAGCGTGGAGATATTTATACCTTGGAGGAAGAGCTTCCCAAGAGAGTGAAGTCTCGCCTGGTGGGTACCAAAATAGCAACACTAAACCAGCTGTACTTGCAGAACTCCCTTCACATCATCTTCTTGTGTTTTTTCAGACATTAAGTGAATGCAGCCTCCAGTTTCTGTGGCTGTAAAACCACTTGTCATTCCCCCAAATGCATAAAGTAGAAGGAATCCTTGCTGGGAATGCTTGAGAAACACAGAAACGATTTTCCCTTGCACGTGTTGGGATCGGATTTTTATTTCCTCTGGTTAAAAGATTATGTTCAGATCATTTTACACCAGATGAGTTTAGTTATATTGGAGCCATTTTGTCCAAATGAGAGGTGGATTTGGCTGCAGCTCAGTGCTTTCTGGAGAACTGATTATCAACCTGGGACCAAACCCCCTTTTCTCACCGAATGGGAGATTTAGAACGTAGCTCTTACCTATAAATCTCTTAATCTACAAGATCAGGCTGTCTTTAAGTGCATACAGTGGAATTACTGGGCCTAGAAGAGATGAGGGATTTATTTCATAGCTTTTTTTGGTTCCAGACTTGCTGGGTGTTTTCAAACCTGGTGCTTTAACCTTTAAAGCCATTTCATTAAAACAAATGATGAGACTGGAGGATATACAGTTTTCTCCTTCATGCCTGGCAGGCACTGCAGGACAGGGACAGGTCCAGAGCCAACCTGTGACAAGGTTCTGGGCTCCTTTTTGTCTCTTCTAAGAGACAAAAGGAGGATGATTCAACCTCCCCTTAAGAATAAGGTGCCCAGTTAAACCAGTCAGAAACAGCCCAGGGACAGGCAGTTCTGGGGAGGGACTGAGCACAAGTTAGAGGAAATTTTTGTTCCCTTTTCCATGAAATCTTCAGGGGTTTTAGCCTAAAAATCCCACGTGTAAAATGCTTTCTGTGATACAGCCCCAATGGCTTCTCCCTCTTGTTTGAGGTTGTCTCTGTGAGACCTCATGGGCTAAATTTTAGAGGTTAATAATAATTTACCTCGTTACCCTTGAAGGATTTCTGATGGCAAAGAAGCACCACAGCAGTAATTTCTAAGACATGCACAATATTCCAGTCTATTTAAGCTTGTTTAATGATAAAGACAACATATTGGATCCCTGAAATCCAGGATTTTGGAAAGAAGCACATTCTGTGCAGTGGGGACTTTATAAGAGTTCCAGAGGAAGGAATGCAAGCTGGAAAGGGAATAAAGGGAATAGAAAGCTTCAAGTCTGGTTGAAAGCTAAAGCTTTTCTCCTGTATTTCTGCTGCCAGAGCTTCAGCCTGTTTGTTCTCTGTGGAGGGGATGCTGTAGAGCAGGAGGACAAAGGGACAAAGCTATGGGAGATAATTTCTACCAAAGAATTCCAGAATCCCAGAAAGGAAAAGGTTGGAAGGGAACCACAGTGGTGGCACCTGGTCCCACCTGATCTCATTTGAGTGGAAGCAAAGGAAATGCACCTCAGTGGAGTGAGAGAGCAGGAAGAGGAGAAGGAATTGTTTGTGCAGTGATCCCCAAATGCTTCCTGTGGGTCTTTTTTTTTAAAGGCAATTAGGGAAGCCCCAATTTCTTTTGTGTCTGCTGCTGGGAGAAGAGGCAGAGGAGGAACAGGCATAAAGAGAGGATTAGCAAGGAAGTGAAAAGATATTCTGAAGCAGAAAAAAAAAGGCAACTTGAGGGTTTCTCCTTCCAGTTTGGTTCCAGAAGCCGAGCATTTCGAATTCCAGCCGGGTGCTTTGCATGCTTTGAAGTTCATGTTGTCCAGGAATGCCCTGAACCAGGTTGTTCCCCGCTGTCCTGTTCCACAGGTGTGCTCCATGATTCCCTCCCTGTTTTCCTGCTGTGCCTCTAATGGTTGTGTTTCGTGTCCCCTGCAGTCCCTCAGCACTGGGGCCCCTCAGGAAGATGTATTTTCGGGAGACGAAGTGAGACCGGCCAAGCGTCCCCGGCTGGGGAATTCCAGAAATCCTGAAGAATATGGACAGAACCCAGATTACTTGGCCTTTATGGAGAGCCTGTTGCAGACACAGTACCAGCCTGGGACTCAGAGCAACATGTTTTAACCAGGATTAATTAAAAAAAAAAAAATCTTAAATTAACCCTTTTTTGAGTTCGTGGAAAAAAAAAAAATAAATGGGAAACTGTGGAATGGAAGACCAGCCCTGTGCAATAGTTTGCTGTGAATTTCTTTCATCTCCTCTTGGTTTGGACTGCAGGAAAACCCTGTCTGGCTCCACGCTACCTCGACCTTGCCAGGTGTTGCTGACCAAGAGAGTGGGGAGCTTGGAAAAGAAAAACAAAACCCTTCAGACAGCATTTCCCACGGAGACTTTGGAAGAGTTTCTACAGATGGAGTTTCGTGACTGGTTCTTTTTATTTTATTTTTTTTTTTTTTAATTAATTCTGTTTAAAAAATTTTTTTTGGGAACTTTTTTTTTTTCTTTTTTTTTTCCCGGTTTTTTTTTTTTTTTTTTTTTTTTTTAATAATGCTCATTCATAGAAAACTTCACAAAGGTGACGTC